GTGGAGGAGACTTGTAGTCTACCTTAGGAGATGGAGAATAGTATGGTGGTGGAGGTGAGCTGTAGACATATGGTGGAGGAGGAGACTTGTATACAACCTTAGGAGATGGGGAATAGTAGGGTGGTGGTGGGGAGCTGTAGACATACGGTGGTGGAGGAGATTTGTACTCAACCTTAGGAGATGGTGAATAATATGTTGGTGGTGGTGGGGAACTGTAGACATATGGTGGTGGAGGAGACTTGTAGTCTACCTTTGGTGATGGCGAGTAGTATGGAGGTGGTGGTGGAGAACTGTAAACATATGGTGGTGGAGGAGATTTGTATTCAACTTTAGGAGATGGTGAGTAGTATGGTGGTGGTGGTGGGGAGCTGTAAACATATGGTGGTGGAGGAGACTTGTATTCAACCTTAGGCGATGGTGAGTAGTATGGTGGTGGTGGTGGGGAGCTGTAAACATATGGTGGTGGAGGAGACTTGTATTCAACCTTAGGAGATGGTGAGTAGTATGGTGGTGGAGGTGGAGAACTGTATACATATGGTGGTGGAGGGGACTTGTACTCAACTTTAGGAGATGGTGAGTAATATGGTGGTGGTGGTGGAGAACTGTAGACATATGGTGGTGGAGGTGATTTGTAGTCAACTTTAGGTGATGGAGAGTAGTATGGTGGTGGTGGGGAATTGTAGACATACGGTGGAGGAGGTGATTTGTAGTCGACCTTTGGTGATGGAGAATAGTATAGTGGTGGCGGTGGTGAGGAACTGTGGATATATGGTAGCGGGGGAGTGTTGTATTCTACCTTTGGAGATGGTGAATATGACAGGAGTGGTGGCAAGCTGTATGGTTCATAAGCAGCAACCATTGTTGCCATGATGATAACACCTAGAGCGTAAGTGAGATGGGCTGAAGGCCCCATCCTGGAGGAAGATCTCATTGTTATTTTATTTTTTCTTTCTACCAACGCTTAGGTTGGTTAATATTTCTTGTTTTGGTTTGTGTTGTAACGAATGGATCATGAGTTTATATAGCAAAGTGTTTCTCTAAATCCAGCTCTGCATTTTTTTTTTAAATTTTGGACTCCATCCAACTAAATCGTGGAGGCATGTCTACAAGTTGCTAGTATAAGACGTGCATGAACGTTTAATGACAAGTCCAAGAAGTGTTTTTTACAACATGGATGCATGAATGCATCATTGTGCTAGTTTGTTTATCTTTTAATTTGTTGGGTCACTTTTCCCCCCATATGAGATTTTGATAAAACAGTTTGTCGTTAATTCAACAAAAAGAATTACTTACGTGAATGGGAAAGAACTGAAAATTTCGAGTTTAGGAAATATAGTTGTGAAGAGTAACTTAAAAGTAAATCCCTTTGTCAAAAAAAAAAAAAAAAGAGTAACTTAAAAGTACTAGATTTTCTAGGTCCACCGTATGAACTCCCTCGTACCTGAGCCACTTTTGAAAATCTACCAAGATGTTTATGCTAAGCATAATATCCGTTAAGACATGATCTCATGGAATTTAACTTCTCATAACCGTGAAAAAACGGGTTAACTAACATTATTTTATGTAATTCGAAGAATTCTTAATCCGAAAATAAAATTGATCAGCTTCATAAAACTTCGAATTTTCATACGACGTAGGCTATTTAAAGATGGTCAAACACTCGAACACATGTGTATCGAATCATACAAAACCAATGATAATTCTTAATTAAGTAGGTCGAATCTCTCAAAAAGTAAGCTAAAGTACAAAATTAATGAGTTGTAAAAAGTATAAAATAAACATACTGGCTCAATGAACAAAATGAGATGCATCCATGATAAAAATTCTTTTTCAACTTTTATGATTTATGAACGGAAAGTGGATCGTTGACGTTCTCTTAACGTTCATGCACGTCTCATAGTAGCATCATGTAGACATGCCTCCTCGATTTTGTTGGATGGAGAATAAATTAAACAGAGAAAAGAACAGTGTAGAGCTGGATTTAGAGGAAAACTTTTCTATATAAACCCATGACCCCATTTCTTACACCACACACCAAAAGAAAAGAAAAAACAACGTAATTAAGCGTTGGGATGGATAATCACAATGAGAGATTCTCTAGGATGGGACCTTCAGCTCATTTCATTACGCTCTAGGTGTTATCACTTATCATCATGGCAACATACGTTGCTGCGTATGAACCATACAGGCATACCTTGCCACCACTCCCTTCATATTCACCATATCAAGAGTTGAATACAACACTCCCATTGCTGAAGAGAATTTTGGTCAATGTAGAATTTGTTGATTCTAGAAGTGAATAAAATCTTAGTGTGAATAACCAAATATACTATTTGAATTGATATAAATGATGCATTGAATCAACTTTATGGTACTCCATCGGTTTCATTTTTATTGTCGTTTTTAGGTTTTTACATATAGATTAAGAAAGTATTTAAATTTACATATTTTCAAAATAAAAACACAATTACCTATAAATCTAACCACATTTCAACCAATAAAAAAAAAGAAAAGTATATAAAATTAATAAAGTCTGCATCAAAACTATAAAATGACACTTATTTTGAAACAAATTTTTTTTTTATCTACAACGACATGTAAACTGAAACGGAAGGAATATAAAATTTGAAACAATTTAATTTTAGTGACTTTTAAAACTAATTTTAGTTGAATTTGATTTTTTTGTGATTTTAGTTAAACAGTTCCAAAATCTCATATGAAACTACAAGATTTGGATTTTCATTTTTGTAATTAGAAGCTACATTAAACACTCTAAAATCAATATACACTAATTCACAATTTAAAATATTTTCAGTAACATTAGATTTTAAACTAATTTATCAACTTAGTTATAGTAAATTATGATTTTCTGAAAAAGTTAATGTTTAAATAACAAACATGATGTCATTTTAATAAGGATCACTTGAAACTATACTACTAATTGAGAGTATCTCTTACATATTTCTCTTAAACAAAAATCAATAGATTTTTTTTCCGAATGAATTAATCGATTAAATTACAAAGATATTTGTTTTTGGATAATTAATCAAAGATCTTACTAAAGTTGCCGTTCGTCGTCGTCGTCGTCTCCCGCCTCGCCCAAAGAAAACTCTAACCGCCTCATCGATCGCATCTGCTAAAATACAACAATCAATCACCTCATCGCTTTCAATGGACTCTCACTCTCCTCACCTCAACGCGGCAAATCGTTCGCGAAGCTCTCAGACTCCTCCCTCTCCTTCTCACTCCGCCTCCGCCAAGATCGCCGCGTCTGAAGACCTCGAGAGCATCGCGCGCCGCGGCGCGGATACCGATTCATACCCCGAGGAATCGGAGGATGACGAATTCGCTCCCGAGCAGGATCAAGACTCTTCGATCCGCACATTCACCGGCGCTAGACTCGATTCCGTTTCAGGAGGAGTCAACGGATCGAGTCGCAACGCTGAGATCAAGACGGAGAACCTCGATAGGGCTCCTGATGACGCTAAGATAATGATGAAGGAAACCTTGCAGGGTAGCGGAGCGAGTAGCGGAGCTTACATTGCGAGAGAAGAAGCTTTGAAGCTAGAGGTTAGGCGAGGCTTAACACTGTGGATCATCGTGCCTTTACAGTATAGATTGAATAGGTAGTTAACTCTCTAATGTGTTTTCTTTTTAGGAAAAAGCAGGTCATCTCAAGTTTGCTTGTTACTCAAATGATGGTGTTGATGAGCATATGATGTGGTATCTTCCTTTTTCTCCCAATCTTATACCTGTAAAAGTATTCTAATCAGTGTAATATTCAAGAGGAATTGCTTGAATAAGTTTGTTGAAATCCAGCTTGATTGCGTTGAAGAACATCTTTGCAAAGCAGTTACCTAACATGCCAAAGGTGTACATTCTTCGCCTTCTCATGGATAGGTAACAACACACTTGATCTAACTATGCTGGATTGTATACAGTAGTAGTAAGTAGTTTTGTATTAATTGTAAAAGGACTTTTTGTTAGTTTTTAGTTAGCAAAAGTAGAAAGCGTTGACCACAATGTATCTGGCATTGAGTTGAAAGCTTTTGAGAACACATGATGTAACTGTTGCATGATAATGGTGACCCTTTCCGATTGTTTAATATAAAAAGTCAAGTAGTATTAGCTTGTCGAATCTCTCACTATTTGAACAGTATGATGAACATGATTCACTACTTACTTTTCATCCAGACTCTTTCATTTCCTTAACATTAAAAATTATTTTTCTTTAGTACTTCTACCATTATAAATCTCAGCTATTCCTTGTTGTAGCCATTCTGATGTCTGCAACTTTTGTTGTTTACCCCTAGTAAGCATAAGTCTGTCATGGTGCAAAGAAGAAATGTAGTTGTAGGTGGGATCACGTATCGTCCATATCGCAGGTAAGGTCAACTTCGCACAACTATTTTATCATAATGATAATTTAGTAATTATGATTTTCTTCAAACGATATATAATATACAGACGCTTACTTTAAGACTAAAGCAAGTGGTATATTGGCTTAGTATTATCTTATATTATCATCAAGCAGAGTTTGTTTTTCCAATAACACCTTTCTGAAACTGTCTAATTCATAGTGAGTGTGATTACAGTCTTTACATGCCTATTAACAACATTGTTGTCCTTGGTTCAGTCAGAGGTTTGGGGAAATAGCATTTTGTGCAATCACTGGAGATGAACAAGTAAAAGGTTACGGTACCAGATTGATGAACCACTTGAAACAACATGCACGTGATGTTGATGGATTAACGCATTTTCTTACTTATGCGGACAAACATGCGGTTGGTTATTTTCTCAAGCAGGTTGGTGTATTTCATGTTTTTTTTTGCATATAGTCGTCAACCAACTAGTATTGCATATCTTGGTCAGGGAAAGATCCATTTTATTGCATACAACGTATTCTCTATATGTTGTGGTAAGGGGAAAAGTTAACTGAGCTGAGCCTGGTCTATGGGTGGAGATACCATATATTAATCTTTGTTCCACTTGTTAAAGAATAACAATATGATTAATGTGGTTGTCAGTGGCTTTCATTTGCTGTTACAATGTTTCTAAAAATGTTTCTAAAAGGTGAGGTAGTCTTTGTAAAATGATGAGTCCTTGAATGAAACGCAAGAACCTCTACGCAATCGTTGCATACTGTATCTCTGTGTGAATAATCAATCCTTCTCATGATGATTTTGGGTTTATGCTTCTTGAATAACGTATGAATCTCTAAAAAAAAATCACGTTTCGACACTTTGCTACCACTTTTTCGGTATTGAAGTTCTGTGATTTTGTCTTTACTTATAATTGTTCACTAAGTTGATCTGTTACGTCTATTTTCTTGTGTAGGGTTTTACGAAAGAGATTTACTTGGAGAAAGAAGTCTGGTATGGGTATGTAAACGATGTACCTCTTAAGCTGAAACTTCTAGTTAGCTTCCTCAACTTCTGTGCTTTAGATGGTTGACGTCTGACTGTAGCACTTGTGGTCCCAGTTGAGCTCACAAACCTTAGGATAAAAGCATTTTATTTAGTAGCTAATCTTTGCTAACAGAGAAATTATGTGTTACCTGTCAAAAATTTCCAATCTTTTAACCTACTCTTGCAAATAAAATACTTCGTATTTTCGTAGGTTCATTAAAGACTATGATGGTGTCCTCCTTATGGAATGCAAAATTGATCCGAAGCTTCCATATACAGATTTGTCAAGCATGATTTGCCAGCAAAGAAAAGTAAGCCACTGAATATACTTTTAACTCTGATGAAATATTTTCTTGAGCCTTCAAGTTCTACAATTTATGAAGCTTTTGTTCACTTTCTATATTCTCACTATTTAGCTCTGACGTTATGGATAATTCTGGTAAGACTAAAGAACTGAAGGAAAACAAATCTGAGGGCTTGATTCAGTTTATGGTAACTTAGTCAATAGAGATTTCTATTTTCCCCTTGAGCTAAAGAGTCAAGCTGACCTACACACAACTTTAAAAAATATACAGTGTAAAAACACCACTAAGGAGTAGTTATTCATCATTATCATATTAAATTATAAAAGGCTTTGGGGATTTGACCCTAAAGGCCCTCAGATTCTGATCCCCGCTAACTTTTGTAATGTCAGGCAATTGATGACCAGATAAAAGAGTTATCAGAATGTGAGGATTTTTATCAAGTACCTGAATTTCAAAAGGTAAACATCAAAGGTTGCGTGTCTATTGTGCAAGTCGCAGCAAAAAAAAACCCGTGTTCCAGTAGTATAATAAATGTTATAAATTCTGCAGAAAGAAGGTGGAAGTCCTAAAAGGATCAGACCTGAAGATATACCTGGCTTAAGTAAGTCATGATTCTATTTCATCCCTGTTATTGCAGTTTGTTTCTCAAAAATATAATTTTCTCCCTTGGCTTGTGCTAGTAGCTCCACATGATCAAGTTAATATGCATGTGTTAAGATTCCTACCTTTGGTTAGCTATGCTTAGATACAATATCCCCCTTCTCAGGATTGATGTAGTTTGAGCATTTCCTAAATTGGCGTTTAAATAGTGCAAAGGTTTCAACCTGTAATACTTTTCTTCATGCTGTGTAATTATAGTTCAATAATACATGAGGTATGGAATACTATTACAGAGGAGGCAGGTTGGACCCCGGATCAGTGGGGGCACACTCGTTACAAAGTATTCAATGGTTTTGTAGATAATGCGACAAAGCAAAAGCAGTTGAACGCACTAATACGCATGCTTTTAAAGGTTTTGTGATAAGTTTTCTTCACCTCAGTGCTTTGTCATTACATACATAATAAGTATGTTATTGCAATTACTATGATCGTCTTGTTTGACAAGATTGAGTAACTTCAACAGACAATGCAAGACCATGGTGATGCCTGGCCTTTCAAAGAGCCAGTTGATATTCTCGATGTCCCTGATTACTATGACGTCATTAAAGATCCCATTGGTAAGAGTATATACAGTTAATTATCATGTCTCTTGATTCGTTTTGTTATCCTTTTACAATTCCTTGAAGTATTCTACTCTACAATAGCTTAGGAATAAATGCAACCTAGTGAAGAGAATGCCTCTTTCTTTTTATCTGGGATGAACAAGTATGCAGAGTAGGAGACAGATCTATAGTGTGTGTTAATTGTGGTTAACCGTCATGGTGTGAACACAGATCTGAAGACAATCGCAAAGAGAGTAGAATCAGAAGAGTACTACGTGACGCTTGATATGTTTGTGGCTGATGTGAGAAGGATGTTCAACAACTGTAGATCTTACAACTCCCCGGAGACCATGTATTACAAATTTGCAACCAGGTAAAACGCTTCTTTCCCTTTTTTTTTAACCTTTAATTTCTTCTCTTAATGCAAATGTGCAACAACGATTTTTCACTTGAAAGGTTGGAAGCACACTTCCATAGCAAATTACAAGCAGCTCTCCAGTCTGGTGCAAAATCTCAATAGAAGGATGGTAAAGTGATGTAAAGATACTCGTTGGAACTGATGAATTTACTTGAAGGCAGTTGTCATTGTTAGGTAATCTGTTGCCTTCTGCAACTGCCTTTTATTGGGGGTTTGCGCTGATGTAAATGAGTACAACAACTCTTTTTGTGTTGACATTTTGCGTTAGAAACGTTACAGCTTTTTTGATTGCCAAAGCAAGCAGGTAGTTAAAGTTAACATTCTTCCAATTATTTCCAAACATACATAAAATGGGTAAATCATTACCCTTACACATAACAACATCGTGGAGTCGCACAGTAAATAAAAACAGCAAGATAAAGAGTTACCTCAAAAATCACAAAACCAATCGACTTTAATCTTGTGGTTAATGCTTGTGGTTCCAATGGGGCATGGTTTCATACATATTCTTCGGATTAGTAGCAAACAGATTCGGCGTGCCTTCACGGTTCACCTCTACTCTCTGATTTGGTGCTAAACCGGTACCAGTAGTAGTACTTGGGATTCTCGGTGTGTTGTTCACTGGCATGCCCATGTTTGGTCTTGCCCACTGCAAAGGGTTAACTCCTGTCACTCTTTTCACTGTTTCTTCTGCCATCTTAACCTGCACAAGATTTTACCAATGCAATGAACTTATTAGTTAAAACATTAGATAGAATCATATTCGTAAGATTTTTTAAACCACTAGTGAGTTTGCAAGAATGTGTACCTTTGTTCTCAGAGTTTCGATATCAGCTCTTAGTATTCTGTTGTCGACAGCGGCTGCATCATACTTCTGATTCATGTCACTAAGACGACCAAGTAAAGTTGAATGCTCAGTCCTTAATTGGTTTACCTACGAAACATAAGAAGAAAAAAAAAAACTTGTCCTATAAATCAATGGAACGCTGCTAAAATAGCAAGAAAAGATATCGAGAAATGTAGATGCATTTGAGACAAGAACCTGTGTATCAAATTCATTCATTTGTTCCTGCTTTCTTCTCCTGGAGCGCCTAGCGGATTCTCGGTTTGAGAGCATCCTAACCAGTTACCAAATACCGATTTAGGAAAAACTTTAAAGAAGAAACAGAGTCGGGTTTGGTCTTGATGATCATTTTTCATCAACAGAGGTTCACACAAATTATTACTAAGAACAACACAAAACTAACTGAAACGTTCCCCTTCTAGACTTAAGCTCTTACTCCTCTTTAAAGAGAGTAGAAACTCACAGCCACAAACCGTTCCACATAAAGACTTCCAAGTCGAAAGTATCTCCTTTATATATCGAGATCAGAATAATAATCATAAAAATTCTAAAATCCCAAGAATTGTACCTCCTAGCACGCTTAACATCAGTAGGATCTCCATTATCTGCTGTCTCTATGTCTCCATCAAGATCATCGTCGTCAGAGTCATCTCGGGATGAGATACTTGTAGTTTGCCTGGCTAGAACAACATCTGCATTCTTTTTAACGCTTGTTGAAGGAACTGATCTAACAGATGATGCACCTGGTGAGGTTTGTGCCACAACAACAGAGCCTAGAATAGTCCCAAAAGAAAACCGTTATCCACAATCTGAGAAACATCTCATCCAAAGAATATAAATCATAAGCAAAGGAACTTAAGTAGATATTCAGTAAATCACATCTAAACTAATACGACAAGCATGTGCCTTACTACTGCCTATCACACAGAATCTGAAAAAAATAGCCAAAAACAATGCTTACATCGTCACATTCTCTCAAACTCTGAGTTATATACCACCACGTTGTAGTCAGAATAACAAAGTAAAACTCGTGAAATGATTTTTAACTTTCTAAATACTCTTAACATCAAAGAAACAGATACAGAAAAGGCCAAGCAAGAACCAAAAAAGCCAAAAACTATAATAACCTTGAGACTGAGATCCCACCGGAGGAGATTGTTTTTGATTCACAGCAGAGGCATTCGAATCTTCTGGCTTCACACTCCCCACCTGCGTATAAAAAAACAAATCAATCAAAATCAAATTCAAAATCAAAATCAAAATTCAAAATTAAATTCAAAATCAAATTCAAAATCAATCAACAAAACAAATCAAGAGATCGGATCTAAAAGCCATACACGACGCGCAACAGCAGCGCAAGCGATCTCAAGCTTGCTCTTCAGAATCGCATGATACTGATTCGGATCAACAACATCCGAATCCAACGGATCACGATTCCGATTCCCTTCATCATCACCCACGTGATTCCGCCGCGGCGGCGGCGGATTCTGTATCTCGACAACGTCGGCGGTTTCGTCGACGGTGGACTGAACCGGCGGAGGCGACATCTCGAGTACGTTGATCGTGGTAGGGCTTTCATCGGAGCCTGACATCTCCTGGAGAAGCCTGTGGAAGGCCCACTCCGATTGACTCCGAGTCATCCCGTCGGGCATGTTGTGAGACGGAGCCGGTAGAGATCCCGGCGAGGGCTCCGGAGCGGGTGGTGGCCAGAAGGAGTCGGTCAAATCATCGACAGAGAAGACGATGTGCATCGCTTTTTTTTTTTACCCAATCAATCAATCGCCTTCCTTCAGATTTCTCTCTCTTCTCTCTCTCTCTCTCTCCTGATTTTTTTTTGGCTTTTTTTCTCTCTCTTGGTGTTGTCTTACGTGGAGCCGCCGTTGTAGGTTAGGACGCTTAACACGTTACTGCGTTTCATTGGACGCCTTTTAACTTTTTATTCTTATAAAATTCGCAATTGAACTGATTAGGATGCTTCATGTGAACAATCATTCGGCTACTTCCTCCTTTTTGATTAAAACAACAAATGTGATACGGCTGCTTCATCTTTTAGCGTAAAAGTATAGTTTAAAACTGTAAATCAACGTCTAGATTAAGTATTGTTCTTAGTTTGCATTTGCTACACCTATATATGGGCACATTTATCTGGAATTATAAGTTTAACCGAACCAGATTTTATAAGTTTCCGGATGTATCCTATACTAAAATCAAACCGTAAGAGAAATGCAAATTGAATGGATACCCGAACTTTGGAAATACAAATTATATACTTAAAAATAAAAATTATACTTAGTTTCTAAATAAGTAAATATTTTTAAACAAGGCGAAATATCCAAAATTCGAGTTACCTAAATATCTTTTGTCCAAAGTATTTAATATTATTCGAGTGATTCAACATTTTTTTATCCGAACAACCCGCATTATTTGATATATAAACTGCGAAACAAATTTTCAGACCTATTTGTCCATCTAAAATATTAAAACTGAAGTACAAATAGAGAATAACCCTGACTTTTCCTAAAGAATTACAATTTCATGCCATTGCATTCAAAATTTTAATTGAAAATAAAAGAAATTATTATTACTTACCAAAATAGTAGGATCTATATGCATCTTAAATCAAAATATATATGATCACTTAATGCGTGCATCACATTACGGCCAAACATACAAAACTAATCAACCTTCATATATATTAAAATATACTGCAGTATGAAGGATTCTTTACTAACTGACTTTCGGTAATTTTAAAATATAGAAACATTAAGAAAATATTGTTCTTTACCTAACAATTTATTTTGAGCAATGCTTTTCAATACAGAGTTTTAAATTAACAATAATTGTTAGTATAATATAACAAATATACTATAATATGAAGAATCATTATTATGTTTAAATATAAACTATAAATCTAAAATCATAACTCTAAACATAAAGTCTAAACCCTAAAACATATTTCCAAATCATCTGCTGATAATAGTAGATAGTTCCAAATTTTATAATATTTTAGACAACTACTTAGAATAAAATTTTAAAATAACTATATATGTAGCTTCAATATTTTGTTTTTCACCTAATACCTTAAACAAAATATGTGAAGTACAAAAAGAAATAACCCAGAATTTTTCTCAATAATTACATATTCATACCACTCAAATTAAACTCAGTCGTTTGATACATCTCATATAAACGTCTGCTTATTAACAATGTGTTATTGTCGTCACCTAGCCCAATAATTCATGGGTTTGTTTCAAATTTAAATAAAATAGAATGGGCTTATATTATATGGAACACGTAAACCTTTTGGATCATTGGCTCTTAATACTGTCTCTATCATCTCTTCATTCACTCTGCAAAAGACCAAAAAATCATACATAAAGGAAATGAATTGTTTATTAAAACATCAAGTTCGTTATAAACTTACCAAAAAGAGTTTGATTTGATTTCATCCCACACTATAACACGGATTGAGCTTACTCTAACTTTGTCCTAATTTAAAGGCTTCCACTTTGGTTTCAACAAATCTGGATCAGAAGGAGGCGAGAGCGATGTCACTGGCTCTTAGTACTGTAAACCTTTTGGATCATTGGCTCTTAATACTGTATGGAACACGTAAACCTTTTGGATCATTGGCTCTTAATACTGTCTCTATCATTCTTCATTCACTCTGCAAAAGACCAAAAAATCATACATAAAGGAAATGAATTGTTTATTAAAACATCATGTTCGTTATAAACTTACCAAAAAGAGTTTGATTTGATTTCATCCGACACTATCACACGGATTGAGCTTACTCTAACTTTGTCCTAATTTAAAGGCTTCCACTTTGGTTTCAACAAATCTGGATCAGAAGGAGGCGAGAGCGATGTCGCGGTCGGAATCTAACATAATTGCGGCGGAGGAGATGGAGGCGATGATCGTAGCTGTTCTTCTAATTTGCAGAACCTTTTTGATCAAAATTTTAGCAAACCTTTATTAGAGAAATTCACAGTACAATCAATGGATTATCTGCAGTAGTATGAGGGTTTTATAAATCAAAGAACATTTTCTCTCAGATTTTTAGAAACAACTGACCATGCAAATGGTTAGCACCGAGATGTGATAAGATTGAACATTCTTGGTGGATGTGAAAAGTAGATAGAAGGCAACTGAGTTTCTGTTTCCCGCAAACAAATTGGGCAGTGATTCATGTTTTCAGTCAACTAAGATCCCTATTAAAAATTGACCCACGTACCAAATTTCTAATTATAACGAATTGGGCCAATTTATTTGGGTTAAATTAGTTTTGGTGTATAAAATATCAAAAATGTTTACTTTTTTATGTTTCTTATTTTGTAATATACAATCACTATTTTTAATGTTTCTCTCTGAATTATGTATTTTTTTAAAAACATAAATATATATTTATTAAGCATATCAGTAAAAATTATCAATATAAAAATACCAAACAAGTATACTGTAGATGAATTTAATATTATAACTTTAGTAAAAGGATGACTACAATCTAAGGATGTTCAGTTCAGTAAAATTTCACCAATTAAAACCAAACAAATTAAAACCAAACCGAACCAAAATAGTGAAAGTTGTTTGGATTTGGTATTACCGAATTAATCAGATGAATGTTAATTTTAAGAAACCATGGTATATGGATATGGTTCGGTATATAAACCGATCAAATCGAATAAACCAGAAAAATCAGTTAATTAAAATATGTAAGATACTTATATGCAAATTTTTAATAAAAATAATATATACAAGATTATGTATTAAGATGTAATTCATATTTATAGCTGATTTTATTAATTTTTTTAATTTATTCAAAGTTAGAAAATTATCCTTTTTATCAATTTAAATAAAACACATTTTATTGGTAAATATTTGTATTAAAATATAGTTATTTAATAATCTTATGACATTAATAGTTTTCTTATTCTTATTTTTAACAATAAAAATGAAAAGAAGATATTCTATTTTAAAATTAGAGTACGGAATATATATTATGTTTTAACAAATCTGATTTCTAATCATATAAACTAAAATTTATCATAAACGATGAATATAGTTATGGTTTTTGGTATAGAACAAAAAACAAAAACCATTGGTATATAAACCGGACCAAACCAAAATAGATGTGATATTAATATGATAGATAAATTTTATAAATCGAAATACCCAAAAACAAAAAGAAACGAACCGAACAAAATCCGGATTGAACAGCCCTATTAGAATCAATAAAAAGACTATAAATACTATATATTAAAAAAAACACAATTGATTAGTTTATAAATGATCGCAAAACACATCGACCAGTACACAACTTTGTCCAAAAATTCTAAATATATAACAACAACATATACAATTATGTTTATGATATTATTAAATGTTAAAAAAAAACATACACCCGCGCGTGTGCGCGGGTCAAAAGCTAGTATTAGTTAAAATTACCTGAAAACTTAGAAACAAATTTAAATCAAATTGGATCCTGGTTTTCTTTTGGATATTAGCTAATTTCTAATTTTGCAATCCAAACAGAATAAAAAACCAAAATAACCAAAACTAAAACCAATCAAAATTTGTAAATAAATGGTTCAGAAATCTCTAGAACCGAAAACCAAATAACCAAACTAAAACCTACCAAATTTTGTAGATAAATGGTTCATAAAATCTCTAGAACTGAAAAACCAAAAAAAACAACAAAATACCTGAACCAAAACCGAAAATTGAATGCCCTCACCAACCAAAAATAAAAGTTTCTTGTAGAGCTAACAAAAATACTTGAATCCGAAATCTGATTACAAATCCGACCAAAAACATGATCTCTGTCTCATTCGCTTTTAAAGAAATACTCAAATAGGATACGAGTTTAGATGTTTCAGGTGTCGGAATAATACATAATCTGAAGATCTCTGAAAATGACGAGGATTATAACAAAATGGGACAAGATACATACCATGTAAATAATACTTAGAGCAACAACGTTTTCCATTTAATCTCTAATCTAATCTAATCTTTAGCAAGCTACTCTACCACCAAGCTGCCTCTTAAGGCTCCCTTTGTAGATCTCTGAAACAGCACTCGCAGTATCAGAAACACCAGTTCTCACCTCTAGGATCTTCGAATCCATATACTCTTTGTGTTTCGATATCGAATCGATAAGCGCAAAGAGTTGTGCAGCAACAGCTTGTACCTCCTCTTCACTCTGCTTCCCTGCTTCTTCCAATCTAACCTCTGAAGCTTTCAACATCTCCGCAGCTTCCTTCTCCACAACCTCTAGACTCATAGCCTCTGCTCTCACATCCTCCAACATTGTTTTCGCCTCCATGTCGCATTTTGTAGCCAACTCCTGAGTCTCCTTCTTCACTAGCTTCATCTTTTCTTCCACTTCATTGACCTGCAACTGAATTGACCTCAAAAGACTCTTTCCTGATTCCATCTTCGACGCCATTTCAGACACCTGTTGTTGTAATGAAACAAGTTCTTCAACCTTCTTCGTTGACCCTTCTTTGATACCATCATATAAAGAGCACAGAGCTGGCTTCACTATAGCTTTATACTCCACACCCATCACCTCTTCAGGTGATTGTCCACTCTCATTCACAACAAACTGAACATCAACCTTCAACCGCCTCAAAGCTTGGTTACAATCAATACCCATCCTCTGAATCTGATGAAACTGATTACTAATCTTCGAATCAACCTCCCAAGCTTTCTGCTCCCAAGCACCTCTACCACCCTCACCTTCCTCAACACCTCTCTCCACAGCCACCAACTCTCTCTTCATCCTCTCAACATCTCTCACATTAAAACTCTGAACCACCACACTCTTCTTCAACTCCTCATTCTCTTCAACCATCCTCTCCCTCTCTTCCTCCTTAGCTCTCACTTCCTTCTCCTTCTCCTCCAAAACCTTCTCCATCCCACGACTCCTCTCGCTACGTTCCGTAACCATCGTACGAAACTTATCCACATCTTTCTCCAAATCAGTTTTAACCTTCTCCAAAGTATCTTTCCTCGACGGACCTTTCCTCAGCGCGTCGAGTTTCGCCTCCAACTCCCTCCCAATCTTCTCAGAGCTAGAGATCGTTTCGGCTATAGCAACCTTCTCAGCTTCTAACTTCCCCAAGATCTCCGAATCAAGTTCGTTAACCAAATCATCCTCCCCGCGGATATAATAACAGTAGCTTCGTATCCCGAAGGCCGACGACATCGAGTTAGCATCATCCGGGGCCACGGACGTTGGATTGGAAGATAAATATTGACGGAAACGAGAGTACTGAACCAACCAGTTTATCACAGCGAGTACATTAGGCCAATTGTGAGGCGAATTCGGAGCGCGGAGAGTGGATTTAGTTAGTTTGAACGGACAGTTAAGCGATCTGAGGAAAGAAACGACGTCGTCGTCCCATTTACGCGAATCGCAGGGGAGATGGACCGTTGAGAGGACGAATATTAGCGTTTCAGAGATTTCTTTAACCGGAGGGACGGAGTTGGGGCGAAGCGAGATCGGGGAGTTGTGTGAGGAGAGGAAGGCGTTGATGGAGTGGATAGTTGCTGATTGGTGAGATCTGTTATCGGAGGTGGTTCGGGTTGTTATGATTGATGACTGACGGCTGCTGGCGAAACTGGCGTCGGAGTCACGGGAGTTGAAGAGTTGACGCTGGTAAGGAGGTTGTGCGCCGGTGAAGGCTTCCGTTGGTTTTCTCTTTCCGGTGGCACCGCCTCTCATCTCTTTTGCTCTTGGAATCTATCGCGGGATGATGGGATGATTTTGAATTTTGAATCCCTGTGAGTATTGATTGTCGAACTTTTTTACTTTCTCTCATTGGTTTAAATAAATTGCATGTAGGGACCCTATCTTTTTGACATGATTTCGAAACTAGATGGAATGTTTTTAATTGGTTATGTATCTTCCCTTCTTTCAGGTTACAGGTTTACCTGAACTGCTCATATATGGGTGGACAAAGTATCCATAAATTTTGATTTTATTTGATCCGTTTTTCGTTTGGTTTTGACCGGAAAATTCGAGTATTCGTAACTTTATGAATCGAAGCAAATACTAAAATTCAGTATTCGTCAAATACGAAACAAATCACAAATATTAATATTAAAAAAATAGATTTTTGATATGTTATATACATTATACTTACATGTATATAAAATTATACATAAAATTTTATATATCATATTTATATCTATTATAAGTTTTATAATATTGGTATTCACTAAATTAATTATTTAGTTATTATTTTTTTAAATTATGTGCCTTTATAATTTTTGTAATGAAATGTTATTATTTTATCATACTTTTCTCTTTTTATTCATTTTATTCATTTTCAATTTTTAATTATTTTTTTACGAATCAAATCGGATATATGTCAAATTATTCATATTTTTCTGGATATCTGAAACACTGAATATCTAAAAAGTACGGATCAAATCAAAGCGAAAAATTAACTATTCGAATAGAACAGATTGGATCACATATATATCTTTAATATTCCCGGATATCCGTTCCGTGTCCAGGCTTGCTCATAAAATCTGAATGTAGACATATTCATGAAATTGATCAAGAAGGACATATTTATGAAATCTTTTAAGGGTCCGGTGATATAATTTCAGCTAACATCATTTAGTTTTAAAAAACACACACAAACTGCATAGGAAAGTGACAAACTTTAAACATGTGTGCTCTAGTTCATGCACATATTTCGGGATAAAAGTTCTAGAACCCATTCAATTATCTACCATTAACGATCCACTTTCATCCCACACTACCTCTAGCAGCCAAAACGATGCAGCTCCGGGAGGTCGACGAAGGTCACAAGTTTTTATAAAGCTCCTGAGTTTTAGCCCAAACCCCGTCTTGATTATCATCTAAGAACCAATATGATCTTGAATTAACATTACAACTTCCCCACACACATACAAAAAAAAAAACAGGAAATCTCCAATTTGTTAGTGGTCCTTGGTGTTTTTTGTTTGCATGAAAAAGGAGGTGGTCCTTAGTGGTCCTTGAATTAACATCATTTTTTCTCTTGCTCCATCTTGTCTTCCTCGACTCACATATACCAGATCAAATTTTTTCAACGATTACCATTTACCTAAAGATCACTTAGATTCAGTTCAAATGCAATAATCAGAACCTAAAAAATAAAATGCAAGACAATTTAAAACTCAAACTATATATATATATATAACTCCTAAGTGATTCTAGATGATAGCACAATCAATAAAAACAAGAATTTGAAATTGGAAAAAAATTATAAATATCACATTGTCAGTCCTCAATTTGTCTCTTGTAAATTGTGAATGTTTAGATGAGAAAAACAATTTGTTTCTAGTCTATAATCTTCACTATTTCATGTGATAAAAAACGTTCTAATGAATATAGGGAGAGTAGAGAGTTTACATAGGTTCAAGAGTTTTAAAATTTGATAGTATGCTCTCTGTAAGCAAACCATAGTGATTCCAAATAAATGACCAAACATTTACTTATGACATAAATAATAGTATATGGTTATTATCTAGATGAGGAAGAAAATAACAAAAAATTTTATTTTCAAATGCAAAACAGAAAAATAAATTAAAACACAAACACAAAATAACAACTTTAACAATGTTCGGCGACAAGATCACCAGAACTGGAGTTAAATTTTAAGCAAACATCACGCTACAATTATGAATAAACTGGGGGAGTTGAACATCGTTGCAACTGTTTTTTAATTCTTCCCAAACCTGTTGTTTCACGTCAAGAGAAAGAGAAGGACGGCATGTATAAATCACGGTTCTACTATCCCAAGAGTTAGAGGACGATGGTCCAATCAACAATAACCTATCTCCAAGCGATTTAAATGAAACTCCCCAACCACAGGTAGCATTTGCGCTCAGAGGCACAACACCAAGTTTCTTCCAAGCATTTGCTTTTATATCATATACACGAAGCTCGTTTGAAGATGTTTCCAGTGAGTATAGATTATCATCAACAACTGCAATGAAGCATGAAAGATGGGAAAATATCTCGACCATAAGCTCATAGTAAAGCTTAGGATCAACATAAGTTTTATTGTGAGTTTTAAAACTTGCCTGGTTCTGATAAGATTGTGTGAGTTCTTGTTTTTCTTCTTCTTCTTCCAAATCAGAACATGGTTCAGCATTCAGTTCAGGTGTATTGGGTTTATTCCCAACAATAGGAAGTTTCCTTGGTTCAGATTAGACCAAGTTTTCTCTAATCCTAGGAGCCTAATCTTTTCTTAGAATCAGCATTTCGCGAAAGATTTATTTATAATTATCAAGTAGTATAATTTTTTAATACACTTTAATAACACTCTTAATAATTTTGCATTCTCTTGATATAAAGTCAAACTAAAAAATATTATAGTTTTTGTCATATAGTGGAACATCAAGAGATTCAAAATTGAATTTACTAGATCAAACTCAATACTTAGTAATTAATGTACTTGAATAATGATGATGTATTTGAATATAGTTATATCTTAGTATTCAGAACAAGAAATTGTATCTTACATTTTTATAAACAATAAGGACGAGCAATTATCTGCAGAACAAAAACACACAAGTATATATTAATGAAGAAAATTTTGGCCAATCCGAACCAAAGAAATTGTATCTTACATTTTTAATCAAATTTAACCAAGTTAACTCAATCAACATATTATCAAACTCTTAAGTATTACTATGAAAAGAATATATTGTAGTAATCAAGATGTGTAATCATATAATAGGTTTCAATTTTATTATAAACATGTGTTGCATGCAAACCTTAGAACCTAATGAAAATGCTTTACTAAACACACACTTGAGTCTCGGTTATATTAAGTTAATTTGATATATCTGGTATTGCCAATTATGCAAAATGTTAGCCAACGTATTCCTAAAATATCTAGTAGATCTGCTTTTCACTGTTTACCATATATAGTATTGTTCTTATTTAATTTTTAATCATAATGAAATGTATTTATTTGACCATATACCATAAATATTATGATAAATGTTTTGGGGAATTTGACTAAAGTTCTTGAAATTTAGCTATTTTATTTTGACTAATTATTATTTACGTTTTTGACCGCTAATTTTGACTACTAATTAATAAAGAATTGAATATTGACCAAGTTTTGATAATTTCTTAAAGAAGATTTTTTAATTGATAAAATAAAATTCTAACTTTTTAATTTATTTTAAGCTGCATAATTTAATGTTTTATCATTTAAAAAAAAATATTATGTGAATCAGTGAATGTATTTCCGATAAAACTAACATAAAATACGAGAATTTATATTTTTCTGCCAACAAAATTGATAATATGTTATTTTATTAAAAATTGTATATTTCAGGCTAAGCAAGCAAGGATTGAAATTTGTTTTGACACATCATCAAAAAAAAAATTATCCCGTATTTTCATCTTTTACGTGTTTAAATTAAATTAATAATTAAAGATTCAGTAACCTATTTTTTGTAATTGATAGTTCATTTTTAATTCAACAAAAAAGTTTACATCGATCATTCTATCAACATATTTAATTTACAAAAATACAAGATATCTAAATTACACAAATTTAAAAGAAAAAAAATAAAACTTTCATAAGAACGAAATGAGAAATGTGAATTTATGATAATTTTTCCATATTTAAACTCAATCTAAAAATTATTAGAAATTGTGAATCTTACAAATTTTTCCTACTTTATCTCTTACAAAATTTTGAGTTTGGAGAAATTATTAAGAAAAAGGAAGAAGAGAAAACTATGATCAATTATTATGTTTTATTGTTTTGTTTGTCCCTTTGATATTTTAGAAATAAATTCAGTGGATGGCTTTTGAACTATTGGTTTCATTATTTTCAACAGAATTCAGTTCCAAATTAACAGTCCATTGATATATTAATTGTGTGGTGTTTTTGTATATTAATATTTATAATGATTTGAGGTCTAACATCATTAGTTAAATTTCATTCTAAAATAAATATTTAACAAAAATAATAATATAACAAAACTTACATAAATAATCCAAAATCTATAAAATTTAGGAATAAATATATAAATGATAATAATAGAAAATATATCAATTTACTATTTCTTGTTCATGTTTTACCAAACCTAGGCTAATGGAAAAAAAAAGAGTTAATTCACAGAATTTTATTCCATACTTTTGGGCACCAAGTTTATAAAAATCAAGAAAAAGGAGAAAATCATAACCAAAATTTTTAAACATAATAAAAATATTTAAAATGAAAATACTTTTTTAAAGATATAATAAAACAATACACTTTTAGTTCAATTACATAATATAACTTAAAATAGACAAAAACTAGTCAGGAAAATATTTTTTTAGAATATATAACATAATCCAATTTATCTAAGTTTCAAAAATAATAGAGAAAATTAGTTTTTTTTTTAAAAAAAAAAAAAAGAGAGAATTTTATTTCCAATATTATTTTCAAGTTTTATCTAACTCATGCCGAAAAAAGACTGAATCTTGTGAAACGTTTTTGTGTGGAAAAAAACGCAACTAATGATCAATACATTATCCATATAAATATTTTTCAAAAAATTAGTTTGGAAAAAAAGATAACAAGATCAAACTGGTTTGTGGACTGAGAGACCAAACTGTAACTTGAAATGTCTCAAAAGTTTGGAACATCAATCTAATACATTACTGGTGATTTAGTAAATAAAACACAATCAATGAAGCCTTCTCCAAATGTTTTTCTTTGTCATTCAAAGAAGGGCAGATTTGAGAGACTTTGTGAGACTCTCAAGCTCCTTAAGCCCTTCCGTTGGTGACTTAGCATCTCCCAAAAGCCTCACCATTGCACTGCCTACAATCACTCCATCAGCTCCCCATCCAGCTATCTGTTCACACAATTACAAAAAAAAAAAAAAAACAACAGTTTATCAAATAACAAAGACCAATACAACTTCAAGAGACCTTACGAAGCTTTAAGGTAAGATTTAGAACCTGTTTCACATGCTCAGGCTTTGATATTCCAAAACCAACAGCCACTGGCTTGTCTGTTGCCTGCACCGAATTACATACGGCCAAATAATTTTGAGTACTTTAACATCATTTCAAGATAATGAAGAAACAGTGACAGGTGTGTTCTTTAAACCTCTTTGATATCCTTCAAGAGCGACTCAACCTTTCCACTGACAGATGCACGTGCACCCGTCACTCCTATTGAGCTCACCTGGATAGCAAGGCCAATACATTTTTCAGATACAAAGAAACACATAAGAATATCTGGAGAAGGAAAGATACACAAAAAGAGATCTTACAAGGTAAATAAATCCTTCTGATGCTTCAACAATTCTCTTCATCCGCTCTGTTGGTGTGGTTGGTGTAGTAAGTAGGACCTTAATTACAAAACATGGATGAACACTATTTTACTAAAAAGCAGTGCATCTGCTAAAAACATTGCATCTAGTACTATTTCTATCAGCTATAATCTTTACACAAACAAAAGATAACGAACTTAGCATTAGACAGAATCTACAAATACATAAATACTAATTCAAATTTTTCACTGATTTCTTGTGATATCTATTGCCAAGACTGAGAATCTTCATTATACAAAAAAAAATGCATTCCTTCAAAAGCAGATATGATTTACCAGTTCAATGCTGTTGTTAAGTGCTTCTTTTCTCAGAAACTCAGTTTCCTCGAGAGGAACATCAGGAACAACAAGCCCCTGTACACCAACATCTCTGATGCTGGACATGAACTTCCCCAACCCACGTTTAAGAATCGGGTTGTAATACGTGAACAGAGAAACCGGACAAGATAACTCTGGAAGAACCTGCACACCAAGTCCAATAACAAAGAACACACATACACAATCAAAACACATAAAAGGAAGTTAGGAAGATCTTTGCTTCAGAAACTAAACCTCACCTTATCTAACATGTCAAGAATGTTATCAAGGTTGGTCCCCTTCGCCAAAGACCTTGTCGCCGCAGCCTAAATTGAATAGAAGACAAGATGATCACAAAGGTGGGAAAATTAGGACAGTAACAGCATAAAGGTTGCATTTTTAATGGTGGTTTTTTCTGTAACCTCAAGTAACAGTTCCATCAGCTAAATTGAATAGAGCAAGATGATCATTACAAAAGTGAGAAATTTAGGAAAGTAACAGCATAAAGGTTGCATTTTTATTGGTGGGTTAGTAACCTGAATAATAGGTCCATCAGCTAAACTGAACAGAACAAGATGATCAATACAAAAGTGAAAACTTTAGGACAGTAACAGCATCTCTAATGGTGGGTTTTATTGTAACCTGAATAATAAGTCCATCAGCTAAGTTGAACAGAACAAGATGATCAATACAAAATTGAAAAACTTTAGGACAGTAACAGCATAAAGGTTGCATTTTCATTGGTGGGTTTTATTGTAACCTAAATATCAGTTCCATCAGCTAAATTGAATAGAGCAAGATGATCAATACAAAAGTGAAAAACTTTAGGACAGTAACAGCATAAAGGTTGCATTTTTATTAATGGGTTTTTGTTAGTAACCTGAATAACAGGTCCATCAGCTAAAGGGTCAGAGTAGGGAACACCCAATTCGATAATGTCGGAACCACAAGCGTCAAGAACTTTCAATGCTTCAGCAGTAGTAGAGAGATCTGGATCACCAGCTGTGATGTATGGTATGAATGCTACCTTCTCACACATATAGATACAAATGCTATCAGTGAGAATATTGAGATTTCAGACATAAGTTGAAGAGGAAAAGACAGGGAAAGGTTCTTACTTTGCCTTGTTTTTTGAGTTGGGTGAAAGTATCGGCGAGACCGAGGGTGGGAGAAGAGGTGGAGAGGGCAGCGATGGGAGAGAGTCTCTTGAAAGAAAGGGAGGAAGAGTCAGGAGAAGAGTGGCGGATTCCGATTTGGGGTTTTGCGGAGTGGAGGAAGCAGACGCCGGATTTGAAAGCAATCGCCATTGTTAATGAAAAAAAACGTTATGGATACGATTGGGTTTGAGGAAGAAAGAGAGTGTTATTTATATAAAACGCAGTCGCAGCGATTACACGTTGGGATATATGGAAAGAGGTTGGTGAAATCTACCTGCCACGAGTTGTTGTTCACTGCCTTAGCCGCCGTGACCGTCATGATAAGAAGAATAAACTTGATGTGTTAGTCTATTTAGATTAAAATATACGATTATACCGTATTTAATTATTGAGGGATTGATTGGTCGATGAGTTCTTCAACATTTTTCAAAGTTTTGATGTATCGAATATATAGAGCTTATTGAATAAGCATTTTCAAGATTATATGTTAAAAGTATGCGTGAAAATGTAATAATACAATATACACTAGGACTAAAAAGTTGTTATATAGTGCAGAACAGACAAGTTTCTGCAAATGTTTTCAATCTACCAAACAAGCATGTTCAAACTTGACACTTTTAGTTCAAACTTGACAGTAAAACTCAAAAAAGAAAGAAACTATCTGCAGTCAAAACAGCAAAAAAAAAACAAAGAAAAATTATCTTTAATATAGTATTAAATATCAAAATCCAATACAGAATGTTACTTGTAGTCTTGTACAATTTATTCAAAAGCTAATCGGAAAAAAAAGAAGATAAAACACATGTAAAGCTCACAAGTGAAAAACAACAACAGACGTAATCCAACATAATCACAATAACTTAGAGCTACGAGAAGAAAAAATGTGATGAGTCCAAGGGAGTACTACTAATACAGAGTATTATTTATTCATGTATAATGGTACACACTTCCCTCTCAATCTTCCTTCTCTTCTTCGCTGGATAATTATTATCATCTTCTTCTATTGTCTGCAAACAACAAAACTCTCTCAGCTTACATATACCTCATACTACTTCCTTTCTCAAACAAACAAAAAATTACCTCTTGGTATAACAAAGGTAGAGCCTGAATCCTTTTAGACCCATCAGCCAAGCGTTTCCGTAGCATATGGTTTTCACGAGCTGAAGAGTTCTCAGAAACCTATCCAACAAGTACAAGAAGAAGTTTTATTAAGAGGGACGTGGTTTGAATGTGACCTCCTTCTATGATAACAGTACAGATATAGGAGTGGACATATAAACTAACTCGAACTAAATCAAAATTGAATCCTAGCCAAAATGTTTAAACCAAAGTCTGAAACCACAGTTCTACTACTTCTATGATTCTAATATCCAAAAAAAAAAAACTGAAACAAAAAAACAGACTAAATTTGATTTAGTGTAACCGAACCAAACATAAATTCATTGCATTTTATACTTCATATAAATTAGTCAAATAATTATTTATAGACGTTCTGTTTATAGGTTTCTAAAACATAAAAAACTGCATCCGACTCAATTGCAAATGGTTAAAATCGATCTTAGTTTGTCTAAACTAAGATCAAACTCTATACAAGTTGTAACTTTGTCCAAGGGATTACCTGTTTATGGATAGCATCTCTTAATAGGTTTGGACATCTTGATGCGAACACATCTTTTAACTTGGGACACTGGATGACCAAACTCTCAGGTTGCAAATTGCTGCACGAGTTCAAATTCAACTCCTTGAGCTCTGGGCAGTTTAGGAACAAAGCCTGCATCAAAAGACCAATACTATGAAAACATGGATTTCAGAGAAAACTTATTTCCAGATCACTGGTGAGGAATCTCACGTGCAAACTGGAGCATCCCCACAAGCTGAATATCTTCAACCTTTTATGTTTAATAAACATCTTCTGATTGTAGCCTGCTGTCTTTTGAGTACAACTCTTATCTTCAAGAGTCGGATTATCTAAACTGGGATCAAAAACAGTCATGCCACAGTCCATCAGCTCAAGAAGAGGCAGTTGAGCAGTAGCAAACTGAATGCCGCCTGCAAGAATATTCATTGTAGAAGAAATGAGAAACCAGGGAATAAACACACAAATTAAAACAAATTGATGTAATGTGCAAACCAAAGACTAATTACTTGATGTAATGTTGGGACAAGAAGCAACAAGTAGTTTTGAGAGTGTATCAGGTAAGAAATCACAGATCATCCCGAGGCCAGTATCAGTAATGCTGGAACTACAACCAACAAACATAAACATGTCTCAACATACACTCTTCATGTCAATAAACCACAAGAGCTGTAGATAGAATATACTGAGCTAGACCAAAACATACCCACTCAGATCGAGCAGTTCAAGGTTTGTGTAAATTGAGGAAATGGCAGCTACAGACGCATCAGTGATATCGATTCCAAGAATTAGCGAGAGCATTCTCAAACACCTGTACGATAAGGAAACTGAAATCAATCTTAAGAAACAACTGTTCTCTCAATGGAACACTGGACTAAGAGTCCCAGAGAACGCATATATGAATTTTACAAACAAAACCAAGACTGGAAACAGAAATTAGACAAACCTGAAATTCACAGCAGTAAAAGCAAGTACAACAGTATGCGAAAGCTTCTGAGAGGCTATGTGAATGTTCTGCAATCTAGTGCAAGTCCTTCCCAAGCCATCAACCATTGTTACAAGATCAGTTGAATCTTCCTCTTGGCGAGAAAACTCAAGTGATATTTCTATCAAATTTGGACAGTTGAAGATCTGACAAAGACAGAGCAAAATATCTGGCAGTTTAAATATACTGTACAACCCATCTTCCCAAAGTTTGGATGAATGTAAAAAGACGAAAATCATATTTACCATCTTCGAGAGAGAATGAAGACCCGCAAGCCAGAGAGTGAAGAGGCTTGATGAATTAAGGGAAAATCCTCCCAAGTTGGAACACCCTTCCATCTTAAGGCTTGTAAGTCCACGTTTATTAGAAACAAAGCGATCCAGCTCATCCCTATATATACAACGAAATGAAGAAAATTAAAAGACAAATCCAGAAAAGAGAACCAAACAACTATCTCAAACAAAACAAGACCATAAATCTAATCAGTAAGCAAGTCAATGATGCATAACATACACGAAATAACTGCTTGTACACGTGAATTTATAGCAAACATCACTCAAACTCTTCACATTTAATTTTGTTTGCAACACAGAGATCAGTCGCCTAATCCTAATGTAGCATAGCAAACAGAATAATTAAAGACAGTTTCATAGAAGAGTATTAATAGACAAATCCAGAAAAGAGAACCAAACAACTGTCTCAAATAAAACAAGACCATAAAATGTAACCAGTAAGCAAGTCAATGATGCATATACACGAAATAACTGCTTGCACACATGAATTTATAGCAAAAACATCACTCAAACTCTTCACACTTAATTTTGATTGCAACACAGAGATCAAGTGACCTAATCCTAGTGTAGCATAGCAAATAGCACAATTAAAGACCGATTCATAGAAGAGAAAAGCAACTATTATAAATAAATCAAAACCATAATCAATTCAGAAGCAAGTCTATGATGCATATATACATCACATGCAAATGACTGCTTTGTAAATATAAATTTTGTAGCTAACAGAGCCAACACAGTCTCTACACTCATGTCATGATCTGTTGCAGCAAGAAAACCAAAATGACCTAATCACAGTAAAATCACTCAATTTTATTCACTTCATATCACCACTTAAGTGCCAAGATCTTACCCAGAAATCCTATTGACAGCTCCACCACAAGTCAAAATCTCCAAAACCTCCAAATTAGGGCAAGAAAAAGCAATGCACGCCAAAGTCGTCGCGTCAAAATCACTGCACACAAAAACAATCACAAATTTCAATCTCAATCATCAAATGATTAATCAAGATTTTTATAATTAACTCTTTATATTATTAATAAATCAAAATCCTCAAAATCTAAATTCAGATCCAATCAATCACACACCTCTCGAGAGTAAGAGTCAATCTAACGAGTCCAGGACACTTCTGCAACAACGAACCAACGTAACCAATCTGCGCCTTCCTCGGAACCCTAATCCTCAACACCTCCGCCGCCTTCCACATCCTCCTCGCGGTCTCCCTCCACCCCTTGCAAACCCTAGCCGCCATCATCAACCCGCACGGATCCAGCCGTTTCAGCACCTCCCACAGCCCCACCGCGTGAAACCTCCCCGGCTGCACGATCTCCGCATCCACCCTCAGATCCGTCGGATCGGGCTCATCGTCGTCACGACGGGGCTCCACGTCGTCGTCGAAGGATAACGCGCGGCGGAGGTTAGGTAAGGATTGACGTAAAGGCGGCGGGAGGGAGACGACGGTGGATCGGGTGGAGGAGGCGGCGGCGGGGAGGGTGGTTACGGTGTGGGGAGTGGTGGGGACGTCGAGATTGCACACGTGGCCTTTTTTGGGTTGGCCGCAACGGCCGCAGCTGTAGCTTCCTCTGTTTTTTTTTGGTCGTTGGGATTTGAGGGCGGCGGAGATCGCTGCGTTTGCGGTTTCGGGAGGGATGTGCGGTTGCGGTTGCATCGTGGGGGTTGAGAGAGAGAGTGAGAGATTTAGATTTGGAGTGATTAGATTAGATGAGATTTCAAGAGAGGGAGATAAAAGAAAGGAGGGAAGGTGCGGCGGGAGATGAAATGGTGTTTTCGCGCGAGTACACACTGTTGCCCAAATTGTAATAAAACTTTTTTTAGTTTAGCCGCTCAGCTATGGAGAGAGGAGGGAGCGTGAAGGCTAGTAGGATTGTTAAATGACGGATTTGCCCCCCCCCTGGTCATACACTCATACGGCACGTGACGCGATGTGATTTTGTAGACGTTGGGTTGGATCCACTGTGTAAAAATTAGTTGACTGCTGCTAGTATTTATTTGTTTTTTGATAAGGAGAAGATTCTGTCTACAAGAACGAATTAATTACTAGTTTTAGTGACAGTAATGACAAGATTAGTTTTTCAGACGTGTCGTGATATGCTAATAAATATGTTTAGATTGCTTTGATTTGTTATTCAAAAAAAAAGATTGCTTTGATTTGAAAAAAAAAAACAAAATTTCTTTTAAAAAAGATTGCTTTGATGTTATTGTTATTGGACATTTTTTATTTATGGTAAGAAATTGGATTGATGTGCTAATTTAAATGGTACATTGTTTGAAAGAAAATAGTGATTTGGGGCATGTTTTTTACTATTTATTTATAATCATGATTTTACGTTCGTATGAAAATAGTGGTTGGGGGTGTATCTTTTTACTATATTTGATACTAATTTTTGTTTGAATGAAAATAGTGATTCGGAGTATATTTTGTTAGAAACCGTTGAAGTAGTTTATTTTGCCGCGCAAAAAATAAACGTTGGACTAGTTTATTTTGACTTGAAAACATAAAATAAACCTTCTTTTTTTGCTTATCTCAAATGCACAAGATTTTTATCTCACCACTAGCCAGTTATCATCTGAATTATATAAACCAAAAAGCTAATCACCACATTTGTCTCAACACAATCTGCATCAGTTGGTGAAGCTTTTAGATTTAATCATTTAAACAAGCAAGCTGTAACACCTTTTACTATCTTTAGTTATGAATATTCATCTAAACTATTAAAACTGAAGTACAAATTTAAAATACCACTTCGTTTTCTTTAATAATTATATCTTTATACCACTAGATTTATGTGTCATTTATCAAAATTTAAATATTTTAATAACACCAATATTCCACCTACCTAATTATAGGAACTAATCCATATATAGAATTCTAATTATGAAAAACTTTTTTTAATTATAGCACAATCTTCATAGTAAGTCTTCTAATAAATATAAATTTATAAATTTAATTATAATTAACCAAATAAGTCAAGTTATCAGAACTAAAAGAAATTTTGATTAATAACTTCAAAATATGTATATTCCTTACATCTAAATATGTATAAATTAATAATAAAAATATCATCTAATACCTCTTTTTTTAGTATTAAGAACTAAAAACATATATTCAACATAAATAATAGAATATTATAATAAAAGAAATAATATATAAACAAAAAAAATTATAATTCACCTTCATTATTATATATACATTTAAATGGGAAATTGTAACAAATACCACTTTCCTAATACCATTTTTCATTTATACATTAATCAACTTTACCACTAAATTTTTAATAAGCAAAATACAATTATATCCCTAACTAGTAAAACCTAAAACTGTTGTCTTCTTTCCCTCGACATTCAATAATCTGACAGATTCGACGATTGTGACGAGTTTTCTGGCGAGCTTTGAAGATGATGACGAGTTCTCCGGCTTAATCTGACGATGTTGATGAGTTCTCCGGCGATGCACGAACGAGACGATCTCTCCGGTGAGTTTCCAATCTTTGCCAACAATACTATTCATATTCCCATCAATGATGCTCATCTTTACTTGGTGGGACGGAGTAAACGGAAGCTTCCCTTTTGATCACCGGCGGCGACGGCGGCAATGGAACGGTTCTGTTGTGAAATTGACTTTCAACTCTGTTGTTATCACTACTCTGCTTCGTAAAGTTCATCTCTTTTACATCAATACTCTGCTTTTCCACTTCTTCATC